TAAAAAAAAAAAACAAACAAAACAAAAAAAAAGGAAGAACTCCACTCTTGCAATGTACGAACTCTGTTCTACTCTCCAGCTCTTCCTTCTCCTATTTGAAGGCGATAAGAAAACGTTTTTGCACGAGCGTGGCCACCAACTTTTCTTCTTCTCTTTCCTGACTATCTTTCTCTCGTATTATTTTGTCTCTCTTCGAGCATGGGGGTGGTTGAAGAAAAAGTGTAAAAGTTAAAGGAAAGTGCAAGTGAAGGAAAGTACAAACTTTTCTCTTTCTTCACGAGTGCAAACTCTCCTCCTTTTTTGATAGCTTTTACTTGATATCATGGTGGTGTCTTGTTCATGCGCAATGATATCTCGATTTGAAGCCATGCTTGAGTAGCGCCCTAGCATGTGGTTCAATTTTTGTTTTTGGATAGTAAGGAAGTTTGCAAATTGAGTTTGCATTGGAAGGACGTCCCTCTTACAAGCAAAAGGTTTGTAACTTTATTATTTATTTTGGAATGCAAAAGGCTGCAATGCACCATCAAGTTCACCTTGATATTGATGTGCCCTTGGAGATTTCTAGAGAGAGAAACTGTTATTCTCATTGGGTTTTTCTGTTGGTTCCAATTAGGTCATCATCTATTATTTAATCGCCCTTTCTATTGATCAGGTAAGTCTTCTAGTTCTTATTATCTCTTTATAATGGCATATTCAAAAAATAACTCCAGCATGAAACTTTCTATTGTTCATTTGAATGGACTTAATTGCCTTACTTGGTTTAAAGTTTATTCTCATTTTTTCTTTAGAAAATTTAAATTTCGACACATAACTATGAAGAAAATGATGAATCTTGATTTTAAAACCTCTAAAGAAAGTGTTGAGAAATATTATCTGGTTGTTAATAGTGAGAAATATGAAACAAAATTCCTCAAAATAGTGGTAATAAGACAACAGACAGATCTACCACTCAGACTGCAACATCACTGCAACTATAATCATTATCAGCAATCAAGTAACAACAATGGTTCTTTCGTCACACAGGATCCTTCCTCTTTATTCTCATACACAGATAATCACATTTCGTTCATGTCTTCATGTGACACTTTTTCTTGGATAATAGACTCAGGGGCCATAGATTATATGACTGGTAACTTGCAGCGTCGATTTAACTTCAAAAATAATGAAAATATAAACCTTGTGTCTATGAACCTTCTGTCTATTGCTAATGGTTTCTTTGATTCCTATCCATATTGTTGGTAAGATCAATTTCTTCACCAAGTCACAAAACTCTGAAGTTCTTTTTATGTCATCATTTTCCTTTACCTTAATGTCTGTTAGTAAAATTACTCAGAACATGAATTACAATGTTATTTTTTCTCCCAACTCTGTGACTTTTCAAGATCAGACCACGGGGAGAAAGACTAGTGAAGGAAGATTGTCTCATGAGCTATATTTATTCAATCAAGAGAATAAGGCTTTAGTTGTCAATCAAGATAACTCTGATATTAATAAATTATGACATTAGAGATTTGGACACCCCTCAGATAAAGTTGGTGTCAAATAAAGTTTTAAAAATTTTGATGCCTTCTCTCATTCTTGTGAAGTCTGTAAATTCTCAAAATAAACAAGACTTCCTTTTTAGTCTTCCATGTATGTTTCAAATGAACCCTTTCATTTAATACATTTTGATGTGTGGCACCCGCCCCAATTGATTCTTATGTCGGCTTTAAATATTTTATTACTTTTATCGATAATTGGTTTCAAGCTACTTGGGTATATTTATTGAAATAAAGAACATAAGCTTTTCCTGTATTCAAAGATTTTTCCAAGCTGATTTCCACTCAATACAATAGCAAGATTAGAATTTTGCGGACTGATAATGGCACAGAGTATGTAGCCAAAGCTTTTTCTGAGCATTTATTGAATCGTGGTATATACACCAAACATCATATGTTGGAACTCCTCAGCAGAATAAAGTTGCTAGAAGGAAAAATAGACACCTTTTAGAAGTTGCAAGGTCTTTGATGTTTCATATGCATGTTCTAAACATTTATTAGTCTAAAGCTGTTTTAATTGCTTGCTATTTAATTAATAAACTTCCAAGTAAAATTCTTAAGATTAGATCTCCCCTTAAAATTTTGAAAAAATAGAAAAATTGATTTGACCCATTTGTGAGTATTTGGATGTGTGTCTTATGTTCATGTGGTTGGACACCACCGGGATAAACTTGATAAACGTTCCAGTAGATGTATCCTACTTAAATAGTCTTCTACTCAAAAGGGATACATATGTTATGATCCCATAACCAGAAAAATGCATATTTCTAGATATATTCAATATGTTGAAACATAACCCTATTTATATGATACATTGGAGAGTGGTTTGAAAAATAAGACTTAGGGGGAGTGTTCAAGAGATCATTTGCCCTTGTCTGATATTTGCACCAATGATGTGTCCAACACACCAATAACAAGTCATGATGATCAAGCTAAACATACCTCTGAAACTCACCAAACTGGTTTAAAAGAAGACACTGCCATGACAGTGGCCCCTCAACCCCCTTGCACAGGTCTTCTGGTATCTCTCAACCATCCTATAGACTTCAAGACTTTTATACTTAATTATACAACGTTTGAATTTGTTGGGAGAGTTTTAAGGCACCTTTTGGAAGAGGTGCAAGAGATGAAAGTAGTTATATGACGTTTGAATTTTAATGGGAAAGTTTTAAGGCACATTTTCAAATTTTGAGAGATGTAGGTGAGGTCCTATTCTCGCTTAATATATCGTAGAAAATAGGTTATCGAGAAACGCATCATAATTTTGGAAACCCTTGTTTGAGCATTTGATATTTGAACCAATGTTATCATGACCAAACTTGCCACTGATCCAACGAGGGGTTTGGTCCAGACAACACCATTCCAACCACTGCTTAAACGGTTAGATTGGATTTAAAAAATCAAAAAACAAAAAGGAAAATATATATCATAGTTTAAAATACATAGGGTACTAAAATTTTTTGCACAACTTCATTTAACGGGTTCAACCAATTAAAAGCGGCTGGACTGACTGGTCAAATCGGTCAAATATTGGTTTTGACTGATTTTCGGTAAAAAATTGGTTTTTAACTTGCACCAAAAAAGCCAATCTACTTGAATTTCAATTGATCGCATTGTCGGTTGGGTCAGGTCTTGAGAACTATATTTGAACTACTTATATTTTTCTTCTATTTTTGACATGATATTTTCATCATCACCATTATTATTAGAGCCTTTTTCCAACTATGTAGGGTATGTTATGTGAATCCCGATCCGTCATTCTACTGTATCAATGGCCATTATCTTCAATAAGGCCATAAATCACCATATCTTTCTTACTATTTTCAACTATATCATTTTGGACCTCTCTTTATTTTATTTTATTTTTTTTCGACATGATATTTTACTTGAACATCCAGGTTTCCCTTAACCAAAAATAAATAAAATACTCCACTTCAAACGTTGAATATACTGTGTGGGGTCAAATGCCAAAAGAGTCGCACAAAAGTAAGGAAAACTAGCAATTTCTTTTTTCTCGGTTGATTAAGATTTTTCGAGAGAGAGCTCCAATCGTCTTAGCTGTATGCGCGCTTTGACCACCGATTTCGTCAATCTCTAATTCTCTATTGACCGCTATGCTCTCAATTCTTAGGGCCCGGTTTGAAGGCACACCAACATAAGTTTTACGCGAACTTTTTCACTGGTTTTGATGGAATGCCTCCGAACCATGTTTTTTTAATGGTTTGGTGGAAAACTTTAAGTGATGTACATAAGGACCTTAAAATGTTTTTTAAAAATACGAAATGTTTAAAGATAGAAATTACATAGAAAGTCGGTCAAATTATTATTTTTTATTATGTTAGTAGAGCACTGCTTTGCTAACAAAAAAACCTACCCTATTAACAAAAAACAACCAAAAATTAAAATTAAAATTCGATCTAAAGATGTCGTCAAACCAAAGGTTAATTTTAGAAAAAATAAACAAAAGCAATCTTACAGATATTCTTTGTAATTTCTAGAGTTATTTACGGAAGGACATTAAATAAGTTATAAAAATATGAGTTGTTCCATTTATATTTGAAAATTGCAATCAAGGTTGGTCAACGCGACTTTTTTTTTGTAAAATTACCTCACGGTCTGAGGATGCCATTTTTTTTTCAAAACTTAAAGGTAAGGTCTAAGGATGACATTCTCAGACTACTTTTTTTTTTTCAAAACTTAACATTCGGTCCGAGGTTGAAATTCTCAGCCCATAACTTAAGTTTTAAATAAACAAAAAACACAAACAAAACAGGTTCGGGGATGCCATCTCCAAACCGTTTTTTTTTTAAAACAAAAAAGACATTCCAGAGATGGCATCTTCGGACCGTTCTTTTTTCAAATTTTAAGTTTTGGTTTGAGAATTTCAACCTCCTACCACAACTTAAGTTTTGAAAAAGAAAAAAAAATAAGCGATCCAAGAATTTCATCTTTGGAAGCTTTTTTTTAAAAAAAACAAAGGCCCATAGAATGCTGTATATAAATAGAGTGTCTTTAAAAAAAAAACAAATTGGGGTCCGTACGTAAATCACTCAAACTCTTATAATTTTCCATCAAACGAACCCTCTTTCATTAATCACCCATGACGTCTAATTTTGATTTTGGGCTTGGACCATTTTCCACTGGTTCAACTCTTTCGGTTGAAAGTGCACCTCTGCTCACGATATCTGGTACTTTTCTTGGCCCCCAATCAACAATTTCAACCACAAAATATGCATTCAAGTTTCATTAACTCAAACCGTAAAAATCTATACATACACACAGAATGAAGCCCGTCTCTCAATATCATCTCTCTCCTACTGTGCCTCTCACACAGAGCCATTATTCCTCCCTCTCTCAAACTCTCTCTCTCCGCAATGGAAGCCCAAAAGGAAATATTGCTTGATCTCCCCCCCTTTGCCCCGTCTTTACAAAGACAACACCGTCGACCGACTCAGAGGCACCATGACGGTACCGCCCTCCTCCCTCTCCCCTGCCGGTGTCGCCTCACGAGATGTGGTCATCCTACCTGAGACCAACCTTTCGGCCCGCCTCTACCTCCCCCAATCCCAAGTTTCCTCCACCCGGAAACTCCCCACGATCATCTATTTCCATGGAGGTGGTTTCATCATGGAATCTCCCTTCTCCTCTACCTACCACCCCTACACTGATGCCCTCTCGGCAAAATCCAATGCCCTTATTGTCTCTGTCAACTATAGTCGTGCCCCTGAGAACCCACTTCCTGCTGCCTACGAGGATGGGTGGTCGGCCCTCAAGTGGGTTGTCCAGCGGTGGGATCCGTGGCTCAGGGACCACGCCAATCTGGACCGTATCTACTTGGTCGGGGACAGTTTGGGGGCCAACCTTGGGCACCACATGGCCATGAAGGCCGGTATTGAAAGTTTGGGGGTAAGGGTGCATGGACTGGTTTTGGTCCACCCATACTTCTGGGCCTCGGATGTGAGCGAGGAGGAGGCGAAGAGCAGTGATATGGCGGAGAAGTTATGGAAATTTTCTTGCCCCATGACTGTCGGGCTGGATGACCCATGGATTAATCCAATGGCGGATGGTGTAGGGGCGCTGAAGAAGCTCGGATGCGAGCGCGTGCTGGTATGCTTGGCCGAAAAGGATTGCTTGAGACAGAGAGGGAGGGTGTATTATGAAGCTCTTAAAAAGTGCAGGTGGGAAGGGGTGGCTGAGATTGTTGAGACTGAAGGTGAAGATCACTGTTTCCATTTGTTTGATCCTGAGAGTGGGAGGGCTAAGGACTTCATAGATCAGTTGGTTTCCTTCATCACTCGCTGTTGAATGCCTAATCTGTCTGATTATTACAGTCGTTTACTATATGTAAAGAATAATATGCCATGTTTATTATTACAGTCGTTTACTATTTGTAAAGAATAATATGCCATGTTTTCCATAGTTATTGGTAAATAAAAAGCGCCTAATTAAGGGGTTCATAAAGGCATTGGTAAATAAAAAGCACCTAATTAAGGGGTTCATAAAGGCTTGAAGTTTGATCGACTCTGTGATCAATTGAAAATAAAAACAAAGAAAAGTCCGTTAATTTCCCCTCCATCAAATTGGATGGCCGAGATTCAAAATTCGGGGCACCTACAAAATGATATTCTTTTAATTACATGCGTTGCATTCAAGAGTATGTAAATAAGTGATCACATAAATAATAGTGCAAATATACGTTCAAGAGTTATGGGAGAGAATTTTCGTAAACATACAATGAATAGTACACAGATATGCAATAAGCAATCACATAAATATTCACATGAATGTGAGAGTTTCAAAGTCAACAAAAAATCATCCTAGCTCAATGATTAAACTAGAGCTCCGTTATTCAGATGGCTATTATAATGAGGTCACAATTGCTATTAAACATTAGATGTCAAATTGGATGGTTTTGGGTATATCAAAAAGTATGAGATTCTTTTTTAACGTTGAATTTATTCAATGATACATTCACAATCACCCAATTTGAAATCTAACCGATAAAATTAATTATAATAAACTTATATTAAAAGTAAATGATGTCCTTATGTACTTTCTCAATTTTTCCATCAAAAAATAAGATAACATATTCCTTCTACTGTTTCAGTTGTACGTTCCATGGTACCTCACGCCTCGCTAACATTTCATTTGGTGACTATTGTAATCACAATTTTAACCTAACTACATGTTGCTCTTGAACATTCCCTAAAGGTCTGTTGGGTCCTTGGATTTTTCAATCCTAGGAAAAGTCATCTTAGAATTGAGATTTATTAGAAATGCAAATTTCATGTTTGGATTGCTTGGAATATCTTTTTTTTGGAAATACAAATCCTATTTATCTCTCTCTAAAAAAATTTGAACTAGTATCTCTCTCTAAAAATTTTATACACTGTCTTTCAAAAACTTAAAATTTGAAATAGTTTCTCTCTCTAAAAATTCTGAGATAGTTTCTCTCTCTAAAAAATTTATATACTTTCTCTCTCTAAAATTTTACATAGTGTCCCTCTTTAAAATTTTGAAATACTTTCTCTCTCCAAAACTTAAAATTTGCGTTAGTTTCTCTTTATAGAAATTTTGAGATAGTTTCTCTCTCTAAACAATTTCAAATAGTTTATTTCTCTAAAATATGATATAATTTATCTTTCTAAAATTTTAAGGCACTTTGTCTATCTAAAACTTAAAATTTGAGATAGCTTATTTCTAAAAATTTTAAGATAGTTTTTTTCTCTCTAAAACATTTTAAATATTTTTTCACTCTAAAATTTGATATAGTTACTCTCTCTAAAATTTTAATATGCTTTCTCTCTCTAAAAACTTAAATTTTAAGATAGTTTCTTTCTTTAAAATTTTCAGTTAGTTTCTCTCTCTAACATTTTAACATACTTTCTCTTTCTAAAACTTAAAATTAGAGACAGTTTCTCTATCTAAAATTTTTCAAATAATTTATCTCTCTAAAAAATTTAGGTACTTTCTCTATCAAAAATTTGATATAGTTTCTCTCTCTAAAGTTTTAAGTTATTTTCTCTCTCTAAAACTTAAAATTTGAAGTTAGTTTCTCTCTCTAAAATTTTAATATACATTCTCTCTATAAAATTTAAAATTTGATATAGTTTCTCTATCTAAAATTTTTTAAATAGTTTCTCTTTCTAAATATTTCAAGGACTTTCTCTATCTAGAATTCGATATAGTTTCTCTGTCTAAAGTTTTAAGATATTTTCTCTCTCTAAAACTTAAAATTTAAGATAGTTTCTCTCTCTAAAAATGTCATACACTTTCTCTCTCTAAAATATGATATAGTTTCCCTTTCTAAAATTTTAATATGTTTTCTCCCTTTAAAATTTGATATAGTTTCTCTCTCTCTTTAAAATTTTAATGTTTTTTTGTTCTTAAGAGCAAAATGGATCATTTCCATCAAATGTCAATTCTACGTATTTTGGTGGAATTGATATTTCCAAAATTTTGGCTTCAAATGTCATTTATAAGAGAGCCAAACACAATTAGCCCAGCTTTTCTCGAAAATCTAAATAGCCAAACGTCCCTAAACTAAAACAAAATGAGAATTGATAAGACAATAATTCACCATCGAATAAGAAGCTTTGTTAGGCCAACAAGTAATCTAATTGCCTTCGTTCGCTTACAATTGATAGAAAAGTCGCGGTTAGAAGGACAACAAAATATTAGGTATTGTAGGAAGCGGACAAACCTCCTTCCTAGTGTTTGTTTAATTGGCCATTTGGTTTGTCGACCATTTACACTCCCAAGGGGCGGATGGGCCAGTTGTATTGGCCCGGCCCTAGAAAACTAGGGTCTGAGCCACAAAATATCGCCTGAGGGAGGTATAAGATGAAAGAAAGATATATGTGATCTTTTACCAGGGAATACATTTTTTTTTTTTTTTTTCACTCTTTTTTTTTGGCAAAAGATCACTTACATGTGGTCTTTATTATAATAAGATAAATTTCAAAATAAAATCAACATAACAATAAAACCAAGATCTTAACAACTTGTTGCCATTGAAACAACTATACACGATGCTTGAGAATAAAAGATAAGATTGCAAGAAACAAAAGGAAGAGTGTTGGAGATTACCTCAACCGGGCTTATTACACCCCACACCGAGTCACCACCATCCGATGGGGCGGGATCAACTGTTTAGCTTCAATCTCGAACCGAAAAAGTAAATTTCGATCAAGTCACACCAATGGAACATGAAACCCTACGTGAATTCTCTTAGCAATCTAGTTTGAGAGAGATGGATTCTCTTTTTGTTAAACCCTAAAACCCTTAGCTATAAATTCATATTTGAGAGATAGGAGAGAAGAACTACATAACCTAAACCCTTAGGTACTTTCACAATGTGGGAGAGAGAGATCAAACATGAGAGACATAAAGTTTCTTAAAAGAGAGATAGAAAGACAAGGTGTAGAGATTGTTTGGTAGAGACAATCCCTTTTTATAAGCTTTGAATAAGATTAGGGTTTCTTAGGGTTTTCTTTGGCTTGCCTCTTCTTGTGAGATTGAATATAGACCGTCGATCAAGGGTGACTTGTGGGGTGAGAGATCTGAGCCATCTATTTCATATATGGGCCATCAACATTATGGAAGGTGCATAAACCATTATCTTTCTTTCCTAAACCATTTTCTTATTAATAGAAATTAAATAAATTAAATCTAGTCAAAATATTGTGCATACCATAAATTAGCACAAGTCTACTCAATCTTTCCACAAAATCTTTCAAAGATATATTTAGTCAATATCTTCCAACCATATGGCCACATGTCATATTACCAAAAAATAGGAAAGAGAATAAGAGTGGGGCGCGCCACCCAAGGGAGGCACTCATGGGTCCCACCTTCTAAAAATATGGCGGGCAATGGGCCCCCATGATATTTTGATATATTTAAAATGAATAAAAGGATTTTAGAATATTATTTGAATATTTAAACAATTGTAAAATCAATATATTTAATTTTATAAATCCAAAAATTATAAATAAAATATCTAAGGGTTCATAAAAATTCAAATAATAATCTTAAAATAATTTTTATCATAAAACAAACACAATTAAATTAATTTGATGGGAAAATGATCGATATGGTTTAGGAATCAACAATCATAGGACACTCCACATTCAACTGTGAACTACAGACCACACTTGCTTTATCAGACCGACCAGTATTTCCCATGACCCATAGTCCAAGCAGGGGCTTATTAGCGAGTCACCAATGTCTGGCCGATGAGCTAAGAGAACACAATCCCAGTCTGTGGATTTCAGGTCCTCCCCTAAAGACGAATCAAAGTCACCTAGACCTGATGCGACCATAGCTCCTATGGTGCATAAGGTATCTCTCGCACATGCATACGATTCATTCTAAAAGGTGGATTTCTGGCTTTTTCGAACGATCTATCAATATGCATGTCATGTGATGGTACATGGATGAGGTTTTGATCTATGTCTCTATAGGCGACCATCACATACAAGGGTCACACAGTCCTTCGGCTCACTCATTCGGGCATGTTCTCCGACCTCATCAAGGGCTAACCCATAAACCCTTATCGGTTTGTTCTTCATACCCAGGTAACGTGAGTTTTTCCGAACCGACTAGCCTAGATCGTTAAGCAAAGATCGGTATCAGCAAACCATCGTTTTCTTAGTGTGGTCCACGATGGACCACACTCCCACTGAGTTCATGTTCCACTATATCATTTTATTTTACAAGCACACGTAAGGCATTTAAAGGCTACATGAGCCCAACATCTCCCACTTGGCCTTTGAAGGCCTTACATTCTCTCTTTCGCTCTTTCTCACTTTCTCTCATTCTCATCTTTCTCTCCCAATTACAATCTCTCTCAAACATCTTTATTTATTCTCACAATACATTAATCATGGCTTTCGCCATTAATCCTTTCATAAAAAGATTTATAGAGGCAACACATTTTTCTCTTTGCAGCTCGGATCACGTCCCAAAAATGGTCGTAGCTCATCTTTCACATCACATCGCGATTCATGGACCTATTGTAGCAAAAGACCATTACATACCCTCATTGCATGGGGTCGTATGTTGATGGGCTCAAAAGAGTTCATCAACTAAGCTGCTCCCTTTTATAGCCATATAACCAGCACCAAACATTTGGGTTCCATGAGTGAAAAACATTATAGTCTGTTGTTTCATTTGACATGCCAAATACTAGCAGGTGCTGCTATTAGAATATTTTGTTTATCTGGATCTTGATATTCCTCAATCTTACCTCATTCTTCAAGTGATAAAAACGTGGTTTTATATGCTTGGAGTTCTTATGAAAT